TGGGGGGGTGTCTCTCTCCAGGCCTTTCCTCTGTAGCCACGCACACAGAGGTTTTGGCTGTAGTGAGCGTGGCCAACTCTGAAGCCAGCCGGAACTCCGTTCCTGTGCGTTCCTGCCCCAAAATAGCCCTGGCCGGGCAACTAGCAGGAAGAGGAAGAAGGTGGAGACATATTGGATTTATACCCTGCCCTTCACTTGGAGTCTCAGAGCAGCCTTACAGTCTCCTTCCCTTCCTCTCCCCGCAACAGACACCCTGTAAGGAAGGGATGGGGAACAGGTAGGCACCTTTTTAAACACATCTGCACAATTTGTGAGCACTGATATCAAACACTTGCAAGTGCCTGGGCAGCTTTTAAAGCATCCAGTGGGAATACTTGCAACAATATGAGTTGTTTGGGGTTGAACATGGGGAGTGTTTGCCCATTACCTAAGGTTGGCATGTCCCCCCCCGACCACCAGCAGGGGATGGAGGGGAAGGTTGCCATATCCAGGTTGGAAAACTCCTGGAGATTTGGGGATGGAGCCTGGGGAGGACAGGGTCCTCAGTAGGGAACCATGCCATAGCATTCAACCTCCAAAACTTCCATTTTCTCCAAGGGAACTGATCCCTGTAGTCTGGAAATGAGCTGTAATTCCAGGGGATCCCCAGGTCCCATCTGGAGGCTGGCATCCCTACAGTATCACCATGTATTATTAGTGCTAGTAAATAACATTGTTTTATTAGTTATCTGAACATTAGCTGAGTAGTTCCTGTTCTGTTTCAGGTTCTGCAAATGTTGGCAACTCTCCTCTTGTTAACAATACCCGAGTACCAGATTTGAACAGACCACTCTGAATTTCCAGTAGTTGCTTCCATTACATGGGAACTATCTGTTCAACTATCTGTTCTGGCGAGATCTTGTCCATGGGGCCGCGAAGAGTCGGACTCGACTGTGTGACTGAACAACTGAACAACAACAATCTGTTCAACAAGGTAATGTTCAACAGAGAACAGAGTATGGATTTGTGGCTATCTGTTGTTATGTCCTCAACAGCATTTGGCTCTTGCCAATGAATTACTTCCACCTTCAAAACCAGAACTATTTCAAGATTGTAATTTGCATGACTCATTGCAGGGAGGTGGGCGGATGACTGGAGTCCCAAGCAGTGACTCATTGTAACTTTTTTTTTTTGTCAGCACCAGTCAGAACTTCTCCTCCGAGTAAAGAGACACGGTGACATGAAAAACCGTAATGTTCCCTTCAGGACAGTTTGTAAGTAAACCTTCAGAATTATGCTTTTGGGCACGCTCCAAGTGGATAACAGTAATGATAGTAATAAGAAAGCAAGGTTGTATTGGATGTGGGATAGATCCCTGTTTCCGTTCCTTCCTACCCTTGGGTGGTGTAGTGGTGCTGCATTGCAAATGCCTCTGTATTTTTCAAAAAACTCCACTGACATCTGCACAACTTATTTCCAAACCTTTGCTGGTGCAGGAAAGGCATGCGGGTCACATTTGCCTGCTAGGGATGCCAGCCTCCAGGTGGGACCTGGGGATCCCCTGGAATTACGACTCATCTCCAGGCTACAGAGATGGACAAAATGGATGCTCTGGAGGGTAGACTCCTCTATGGTATTGTACCCCACTGAGCTCCCTGTCCTCCTCAGGCTTCACCCCCCGAATCTCCTGGAGTTTCCCAACCTGGAGCTGGCAACACTGGTGGCCAGGGAGGATCCGGAAACCCTGTCCTCTGGAATCAGGGCAATGGCAACAGTACAGGAGCCCCACACCACAGAACCCAAGAGTGCTCACCTGTGAAGTGTTTGTCTACTTTAAGAGTGTCCTCTTATGAAAAGTTCTTCTAGCTGCCCTGAGCCCTACTTGTGGGGAAAGGAGCGGGATACAAGTTGAATAAATAAATAAATTTAAGTTCATTGAAATTGGGTTTAGAAAGGTGTAACTCTGCAGTGGACTGCACTCCAGGCTATCTACTGCTAGGCACTGATTGATACCATGGATCTTCAGGGACGGGGTGTGCTGACCTTTAGAAGCACAGTTAAAATTCAGTATTTAATAATAAAGTGCTCTATCTACTGATGTCTGAAATCAAGAATGTCTGGGTGATGTAGGCTGCCGTCCTAAGAACTTTTTTTCCTGGGAGTAAGCCCCATTGAATAAATACTTCTGAGTAGAGTAGTGTAGGATGGCTCCCATAATTACCAGAGCCGAGGATCCGGGGGCTACAAAGTCCGTAACGCTTTTTAGACTTGGTTGTGAGAGACTTTTGCTGGCTTGTGCCCATAAAATGAACTTGTAATAAAATGTCAGCAACCACGAACAAGAATCAATATATCATCTACAAATATAGTTTATGGAAATGAAGCTGCCAACATGGTCCCCTTACCATCCACAGGCTAACTTGGACAGTCACTGACGAAAAGATACTTTCCCACCTTGGTTCTCAGTTTCTTCAAAGACAGACGTGAATGAGGATAGGAAGGGGGAAACCCATATGAGGAGTTAAAATTCGCAAGGATGTATTTTAGGGTATAATCTTTTGGAAAATTCCTGCCCTTTAAAAAACACAACAACATTGTGTCTATTTTGGATTCACAACAGATAATGAAATAGGCCAATGAAGAATAATAAAAACTGCAGACGAGGAGTGCATTCATAATCTTAAGAGCAGAAGCCTGTGTCCCACTTCCTAATAACCTGCTGTGCTCAAGATAAACAAAAAGATACTGTTGTCCTTATAAAATTATATTTGTTAAGGCAAAAGTATCTCGTAACAGGATAAAATTGAAAAACTTTATCTTATTTAATTAGTATCTGATTGATCGTGATGTGTTAATAATCTAATAAGCATGTAAATCAGTTTGGCATGTTGTGTTGTAGTGATACCAGCAGAAGAGCAAAAAAAACCAAACAACAATAAAACCCCAAGGCTGAATGCTGCAGTTAGGTTGGCTGCAAAAATATAAACCAAGTGAACTGCTAATCTCTCTTAACTGCTGGGGTGTTAAATTTTAAAAAATAAAGAAGGTCTGTCCCAGTGGGGTTTGTGGTGGAAAATATGAATGCAGCTCTTGCTGGTGAATGTGTTGTATGTGGAGTGATCCCCCCCACACACACACATCTCTGTTTACGATGAACAACAGTCTTGGGTGAAGACGTGTGCATGCACCCAAAAGCTTATACTCAGAATTAAACTGTGCTGTCTTAAAGGTGCCAACTGGACTCCAACTTTGTTCAGAGTGCAGTAGTTATATTTGCAGTGCAGTGAAAACTAATAAGGATTCGTATTTAATGTGCTCAGGTTTTTTTAATCCCATCCTTCCTTCTAATTGCTCAGGAACATGGATGCTCCCTTCCCTCATTTTATCCTCACAACAACCCTACCAGGTAGCTTAGGCTAAGAGAGAGAGAGGGACTGGCTCAAGGTCACCCTTTGAACTTCATGACAGCGGATCTGAACCACTGGCTGTACACTGGTATTCTAACTGCTGACCACTGTAATAACTTCCCAGTTTTGTAAAGTACAATCCTTTTTGTGTTGAACACCAATCCAGGTAAATGTCAAAGCAATCAAATGACCATTTTCACCCTTTTCCAGAAAGGTCGTAAGAACAGGGGACACAGGCAGGAAGTGGAATTGCCATTTGTGGTGGACGTGTCAGAGGACAGAATCAGCTTCCCCCTCTTTCAAAGGACAGGAGCCCCCCCCCCCCATTACCTAGTTTCTAGATCACCTGGGAACCAGAAAACACAGTAATTAGTTGCGGTGGATCCAGTAGCTTAGCTCTAAGAATTCTAATTGGCTAAGTGGTACCAAGGAGCAACAGTCCTAACATAGTCGTTACAGAAACTTCAGGTATAAAATTGAAGTGGTTTTCACTCTAATTTCTAGTGTGGGGGAGGGCTGCTCTCCTCATCTATGGATAACAGCAGCCAGTGACAGTTTTCAACAATCCTGGACACACAGGTTTTATGTGACACTAGTGATTTTCTGTTTCTTTGAGCCACTGAAAGTTTTCCCAGACTCTTCTGACCATTGTTCAGCTGACCTTTAGCTAAACGTAATTAACCAATAAAGAAAGTTCATGCTGTCTCTGGTACAAAGTCCCTCCTAAATAGGGGAGACACTGATTGGATTGTGGGTCGGGGCCTATTGAATTAGTTACCCTCTGAGACCTGACCTTGTAGGCTTTTGTTGTACAAACATTTTACTTAAGCGTTCTTTTAAAGTAAAGCTAATGTGGTTCTCACAGTAATGTTTCAAGGACATTAGAGAAGGGGCCCTCAACCTTTTGTGAGCCTGCGGGCACCTTTGGTAATTCTAACCCAAGGTTGTGGGCACAACCACAAAATGGCTGTCGTGGAAGGCAGAGCCAACCACATAATGGCTGCTGCAGGAGGTGGGGCCAACCACAGAATGTTTGGCAGTGAGGTTATGCCTAACTCTAATAGTAAATTTTCAACATTTCAAGCAGAGGTTCTGCTTAACGGGACACCCTTTTAGATGAACATGTTTATAAAACATTTTCTTGCTCACACACAGCTTCAGTCACACACACTGGAGATCCTGCCACTGCAATGATTGTTGGAGCTGCAGAGCTGATTAGATCTCTAATGACCAATCAGAAGCCCTATTGGGCAAAAAAAAAAACCTGGGTCACACCCACTTTCTGATACACTGGTCCAGGGGCAACACATTGAGGATCCCTGCATTAGAGGACGGAAGCCTGTATGGGACATGCATAGATTGCCACACACTGCAAAAGGGGACTGTCCCATCTCATGGCAGGCACCAGTGAGGGAGGAAGAAAAGAATTAGGAGGTCTACAAGTTAAATATATAAAAATGGGGGTTCTCGGGTTGCTACATTTTGAGAACTGTTGAAGTCAAGCATAAACCTTCACTAATTACTTCCAATAACATCTAAGGATACTGTGCTCTTCTTCTTCTTCTTTTGTATCTTTAGTCACCCTCACTGGATCTCCAGAGCACTGGGAAAAAAATGACTAGTTTTGTCACATTTGCTCGGCATGTTTGGAAACTTTTCGCGACTGAAAGGAAGCCAGGCTGGAAGAATCTCATGCATCTGTTTGCGATCTGCAGTGCTGTTAGTTTAGTATCTAACATGTTCCTGCTCCTAGCTGGGTATTCCTTTCTGGCGGACTATCCCCTCTTTTCCTTGGTCACATCCACAGTCCTCTGGATTATCCTTTCTGTTGGTTTGTGTTCTTCTAGGCACCTCCGCTGCTCTGCTGCTCTCTTCTTCCTTTCCTGTGGGCTGCGTGAAGGAAGGAACGCCTTGATTGCAGCCGGAACCGGTGTAGCGGTCGCTGGGAACCTCCAAAGTATTTTCTACAATTTAAAGCAGTTAGCAGATAGTGTGACGTGTATTCTGGAATCCCAACGTTTCCCCTTCCTCAACCACTATGTTGCAGCAATTTGGTGGATTTACCGTCAGTTCAAGCTTTTGGAGAACCCATTTAAAGACATTGTGTCGGTAGATGGGGAGTTGAGCGTGTTTTACTCCGTTTCAGATGAGAGCTTGAAACTGAAGCTGGAGCATACAAGATGGCGCATCCAGAATTTCACCAGCCAGATTTCTTCTGTTCTTGCCCTGCAGCCATACATGGGCAAAAAAGTCCTTCCTCTTCTGGGGATTGTCTTCATGGTTCTTGGGACGTACCTCTTTGTCCGAAAATTCTTGAACCCCCTCAATGTTAAATTTAAGAATACTTATATCACAAAAGATTTTGTTCGATACAATGAACAGCAGTGGCAGCAACGAAAGCTCTCTGTCTTGCCCCTCAGTAAAGAAGAAAGGAAGGTCTATACAACCATCCCGTCTTTTTGTCAAACGCCCCGGGAAAGGAAACGCACGTTACGCTTTTTTCTCCCTGTGCTTGCTAACCTTTGCATTTGGCTTCTTTTTGCAGCAGTGGATTATTTGCTTTACTGGCTGATTTTTTCAGTGAGCAAGCATCTGCAAGATTTCCCTGAGCTAGAGGTCCATTTGAAATTGTATTACCATGTAAGTATCTTAGCTACCGAACCAGCACTTTCCTCTGGCTTTTATTGCTTTGGATAAAAGTTTAAACTTTTAATAAACTTATGCTAAAAATACAATACTAAAGGCCTGAAAATGGAAAATGGTGGCACTCAGCTGACCCAGAATTTAACTGTCAATAAAAACAGTACTATACAGATATATAAAGGCAATTTGGAACTCCTGTCCTTTGGTCAATCTGAACACTCCAGTGTGGCCATAGGAAAGAGATGCAAAATCTGGGAAGGCCATAGTCCAGTGGTAGAACAGATCCCCTAGCATAGATTGCATGCAGGAGATCTCAAATTCAAGCCCTGGCATAATCAGGATCTCGGGAGCAGGACTGGGAAAGGTCTCTGACTGAGACTGCATAGAGCCACTGCCAATTAAGAGGCGACAGTACTCAGGCAGCTGGACCAATGGATACCCATGAACACACAAAGCTGGTTTATACTGAGTCAGTATTGCCTACTCTGAACTGCAGCAGCTCTCCAGGGTCTCTGCTGGAGGTCTTTCTAGTGTCACCAACCTCCAGGTGGCACTTGGAGATCTCCTGCAACCACAATTGATCTCCAGACAACAACGATCAGTGCCCCTGGAGAAAATAGCTTCTTTGGAGTGTGGGCTGCATGGCATTACACTCTGCTGAAGTCCCTCCTCTCCCCAAAACCTGCCTTCCCCAGGCTCCGCCCCCCTGCCCCCAATCTCCTGGCATTTCTCAGCCCAGAGCTGGCAATCCTAGGTCTTTCACACCACCCACAACCTGGACCTTTCAAGTGGAAATGCTGGAGGTTGCACCTGGGACCTTCTGCATGCCAAGCAGATGCTTTACTGCTGAGCCACAGCCTTTCCCCAACCCAGAATTAGGCAGCTGCCACCTTTTAGCAACTTCAGTGAATTGTCTTGGGAGACAATTAAAGGCCCTTCATTCTGCCCTAGCTTGACCTTGTGACGTGCAAGCAAGAAGTGACATCTAGGCCTAGTCACTCTGGGTGTGGGCAGAAGGACTATGAGGCCGGGAGAACCTGTTGCCACCGTTGCCTCTGTTAGGCAAGGGAAGTGGGACCCAGGCCCCAGGGTTTGTGTTTCTAATTATCCTGGAAAAAGTCTTTTCTCTGCAGTTTGATCTGTAGACATTTAACAGATGAGAGTTGTCACATCATGGCTTAAAAATATTAGCTGCTAACATCTCCATATCAAGCTGCGGTGAAAGGCACAGTGTAAGAGCCAGCCTGGTGTAGTAGCGACAAGTGTCTGAGCCATTCAGCCACGAAGATCACTTGGTGACCCACTTTAGCCTAGCCTAACACACGGGGCTGTTGTGAAGATAAAATGGAGGGAGAGAGAACCACGGATGCCTCCCTGAGCTCCTTAGAGGAACACAGGATAAAAATGCAGTAGATAGATAAATCGGCTGGAGGCTGAGATGAAAAGATTGACGATCCAATTATTTCTATTGCTGCAACAACAACAGCAGGGGGAACTGAAGTCTCCTAAGTTAATTGCGTTTATTGCTTTTAAAAAGCTCTCACCCAGCTTGCCCCACCTGGGTTTTCGGTCCTACACCAATCACGGAATAGGAGGTGGGGGGGAGGAGTGGCGATATTTGTACAAGAGGCTTACTCCTTCAGGGCGCTCCCTATGGTGGAGATTGCAGGCCTAGAGTGTGTTGGTCTGGTGCTGGAGGCTGAGGAGAGTTTGGCAATCTGGCTAGTGTACCGTCCACCTAACGCACCAGCCAGTAGTCTGCCGTCCCTACTGGAGGCCGTAGCAGGCTGGGCGCTGGAGCACCCTAGGTCTTGGGTGACTTCATTGTCTATGCCGATGACGCGACCTCTAGTCAGGCTATGGACCTAGTGGCGTCCATGGCGTTGCTAGGACTCTCCCAATGGGTATCGACCCCCATGCACCAGGCTGGGCACACGCTCGATTTAATCTTCGCAGCGGGGATTACGGTGGACCGGATTACTGAGAAAGCGGTACCATGGTCGGACCACCATGCCCTGAAGGCTCGTGCAAATGTCCCGCCCCAACCCCGTTTAGGCGGCGAGCGGATGATAGGCGGATTTTCCAGGCGCGATCACACAGCAACATCTGGGAAGCGTAGTGCACCCGTGGCTAACCCGTGGCTTCTTGCCGAAGATATGGAGTAAAAAACTAGTACATACGATGTGCTAGTTTCTGGAAAACGCAGGGCAAGGGCGGGCGTCTGATCGCGTTTCCGCTGGAATCCCGTGGCATCCGGCGCCCACCCATGTCCCGTCACAAACCAGATGTGTGTTTTTTTTAAGTCTCCACAGGATGCGGACAAATGCCCACCGGCACACACGCACACTATGATGAGGGGGGGAAATCCCGTTCACCACGGAAGTGGCGCCTAACGATTGCCAGTGTGATCGCGCCACGCTGCTTCTTTGCCGTGCTGCAGGATAGCCATGGGCATACCCACGGGACCTCCATGGGACATGTGATCGGGCTGCTGCACGTTACTTTGCTCCAGGGCAAACAGCCACGCTTCCCCCCTGCATTTTCCGGCCCGTGTGACTGGGACCAATGTATTTTATTTCATGACATAGTTATGGGAGGACACACTGGAAGGAGATGGGCTTGTGCTGTCTGTGGACTGTGGTTGCTGTCTGTAGCTCTGCTCTTTGGATTTCTTGCTTCAGAGGTCATGTTTATTTCAGATCAATGGCTGAATATGAAAGCTGATTAATGGCTGTGTTTGGATATTTCCTTGCAACAGCCACCCAAAACATAGCTGGGGTGATTTGCAAAAGAGCCCCTAAGATCCCCCCCCCAAAAAACACAAAACACATGAGTCATCGGCAGCCTTGCAAATGTGAGAATTTCTAACTGTCACCACAACCCAAGTTCTTTCAGGCTTGCGTTAATTTTTTGTGCCTTTTTGTGCTTCTCAGCAGGTACATTTCCCATTACCTTGTCTTAGAGCTGGCTGTGCTGAGCCATCAGTTTCCCCCCTCCCCCTAAAGAAACCATTTATCCAAGAAGCAATTATAAGAATCTCAGGTGTTCCAGAGAGTAGAGCATTTTGGTTCAGAAACATAACGACTGCATAGCTTCCAAATGACAACTGAACAGGAAGGGATTTAAATAACACCCGCTGCTGGATAAGGAGAAAAGAAATTCCTACCTCCCAGGTGTCTGGATAATTTACTCTTCAAACGGGAAATAAAACAGAAACTCCCCTTGGAGAACACCCACAGGGAAGGATAGACACGAACCACAAAAATTCAGTTTGATTCATGGTTGAGCCACACACCCCACAAACCCAGTCGGCTCACATATGAACCTAACCAGGTTTGTGAGGTCCATGCCTGAACCAGCTGAGCCACTGGGATAGTCTACTCCCACGGCTCAGTTGCTTTGGGCTCTAAACAGGGGTTATTTGGGGGGGGACGCGGGGGGACGCCATCCCCGCGGGTGAGGTGCGGGAGGGCGGGGCCTGGAGCTCCCTGCTGGTGCCCGCTGGAGGTCGCCGCCGGCTGTGGGGAGGACACACTTCCGGTGATGTCAGGGGGTGTGGCATATGTTAATGAGTTATGCTAATGAGTCTCCCTAGCTCTTTTTCTACGAAATGACCCCTGGCTCTAAATAAGCTGAGCCATGGGAGCAGGCTGCCTTGTGGCTCAGCTGTTTCCAATCTAGATTTAAAACGGCTGAGCTGTGGGAGCAGTTTGGTCCGCATGGCTCAGCTGTTTCTGATATTTTGGTGGCGGGGATGTTTTGGCTGCTTTCACAGGGAGAGGAAAGCAGGGGTTTAAATCCCTGATACTTGCTTCTCACGAACTCATGAACCTTCACGAACTGTCTTAAAAGTTTGAGGAGGTTCGTGGTCGGACTGCAGTTCACAAACCACGAACCAGCCAAAAATAATCATGAACAAAGATTCGTGAGCTGGTTCGTGCCCATTCGTACCCCCAGGGATTGCCGCTTCAAATCTCTCATGAGTGATCAATTATTTATTGCAAAGTTGGGCTTTGCTGCCCTGCTTAGTCCCACTTCCCTCCAAGTAGAACCTGTGAGTGTATTTTGGCATAGGCCTCCTCAAAGCTGCAAACCTCCTTTAGCTGCTGCAACGCAAGACAGATAAAATTCATCAGAAGCAGATGGGAAGCTTCTGGGGAGTAAGTGAAGGAGAACGCTAACTGATTGCAGGTTCACAAGCACAGAGCTGCCAAAACTGTTTTCAGTGCCAGAGCTCAGGACTTAGGTATGTGAGCTAACAGAGAGTGCTTTTGAGCATGGGCAGAGTACCTTTCTGTCTTCACCAGCCTACCTTCACATGTACATCTAGGCTTTATGGAAAGAGGGGTCATGGGTGAGTTTACCAGCTGTGCTTGACTCTGCTTGTAGCAACTGAGTATCCCACAAAACTGCATCTTTAGCATAACCTTGGGGAAGCTAGATATTCTGGAAAGAATACAACAGAAATATACGGAGCATACAGGAACATGAGATGTGTTCAAGCCATACTGTGTGAAATCTGTTTGAAAAGCAAGAGCACTATTCAACAACTCAAAATTTTCCATTTTAATATTGTTATTCCTTGCCAACCTAATGCTTTGTAAGCTTATAAATTGCAAGCTGGTGGAGATGGAGAAAGGCTAAGGCTTTCCGTGTTGGATCAGAAGGAAGGTCCATTTAGTCCAGCATTGTCCCCAGCTGTAGCCCACGAAAGGCTTCTGGGAAACCACCAGTCAGGTGTGATGGGGAATACTATCCCCATTGTTAGTCTCTATCCTCAGATGATCAGTGGCCTCCTATGTCTGAAGATGGATGTTCCATTTCCAGTTTTTGTGATTGTCAGCCACTGGCAGCTGCCCTTTCTCAAGAAATTTCATAATAAGTGATCTCTGGCTATGGCGACATTATGCAGCAGTTCTATGAGTTATGTATTTTGTATGCAAAAAGAGTATGTGGCCTACTTCCCTAGCCTGGGGATATCCTTGTTTACTGTCCCCAATTATTTTGACATAATCCAGCAGGCTGGACTAGTTTACTACTGATGCTAGATGGTTTATGAGTAAATGAAAGTGCATTGGTCCTTTCCAATTCTAGCCATGAGAACCTGGTCATTGCTATTTTTACATGCCCCACCAGGTTCCTGCTTTCCCTTTATACTGTTACCCTAGTTTATTCTCATAGCAGTCCTGTGAGGAAAGAGACAGAATGACTTCTTCATGGTCAACTTCATAGTAGAGTTGGGATCCAAGCCCAAGACTCCATGGTCCAAGGCCGAAACTCCATCTCTACTATACCATACTAGTTCTGTTCACTTCCCTCCATTGTATATTTTAACATCTACATCTTGATTTGGGGTGTTCCCCCCACCCGTTAGTCAAATTTCTTAAGGGTAATAGGTACAGTAGGTTCTTGACTTACTACAAGGGATTATTTGGACTACCTAACATGAAGTCCCTTCCAAGCCCAAGGCATATTGCTGTCACTGGACATAACATTTCAGCCATCAAGTCGCTTTCTCCTTGTGGCCTCGAACAGAGAAGAGAAGGGGTGTTCTGGCTCATGAGTGTCCTCCTCCTCCTCTCCTGTGCAGCTGCAGGAGGACAGTGGCAAATCCTCCTCAGCTGTCTTCCTTTTAAAGGCAGCAGTACAATTGGCACATACCCCACTGTGGGTTCCTGACTCTTGCCAAGAGGATTGGCCTCCTGGCAGGAGGCAGGAAGCTGCTGTGTCCACTGGTGCAGCCAGGCCCCACCCTCCCACTGTGGCTGAGCTGCTGCCAATCAGCCGTGTGTCAAGCGGCAGCTTTTGAAAGAGGCTGCTCATGGCTGCAGCCCACCTGACCAAGTAGCAGCTTTCCCTCTGCCCTGTGGGGGTCTGCGGCCAGCCCGCCCCCTTTCCCTGACGGTCTCGTGTCCCATGGGAATTGCCACACCTGCTGCCAGGTGGCTCCTTCGTGTTCTTTCCAGAGGAATAATCCTGGTTTGAGAAATAGCTCAAAAGTGCTTTTGAACAGTGATTAGACATGTGAATGTCCTGTAGATGGAAAGAAAATGCAAAGAACTTTTGGAGAAATCCAACTTCTTTTTTTGTGTATTTGTGTGTGTGTGTGTGCATGCACACACGCACATATGTGTGTATGCCTGGAAGTCACAGTTGACTTCTGGCAACCCCTAGTGGGGCTTGGACGTCTCAGAGAGGTGGCTTACTATTCGCCTGCCTCTCCATCCCAGCCCCGGTATTCCTTGGAGGTCTCCCTTCCAAGTACTTGCCAGGGTTGGCTCTGTTTAGCTTCTGAGATCTGATGAGATTGGGCTTGCCTGGGAATATCCAGGTCAGGGCAAGAAATCCAACTTCTGAGTGGTACGATGAAATTTCCAAAGTATTGTGTATGAGTTGTTTCATTATGGGAGCAACGGGAGCCAGCTCTGTTGCATAACTTTTGTTTCCATTTCTCTTTTACAGAAAAATGCTGATAAATTTATCTTCAACAGCGGGGAGATCATTAACAATACAACTTCCTTTAAGATTCCTCTCTTCGAGCACGCCTGTATTCCCAAACCAAAATTTGCCCTCGCTGACACATGGATCCAGTTAGCTGTCATCGTCTTCTTTTTAGCCGTGCTTGGGCTGTTGGCCTCTGCCTTTACACAGCTTAAAATACTTGTGACAACGTCATTCTTTCCTCGCACAGGCATGAAACGGATAGAGTATCTGCATGCAAAGTTATTAAACAGAAGATCAAAACTTGCTGAGCAAAACACAAAAAGGAAACTGAATTCATTTGCAATGGTAAACAGCTTGGAATGCAATGCTAGGTCTGAATATTATATTTATAGTCCAGGCCTGTGATCTGCCCTGTGTACGCTACATCTACCAGGAGTAGGCAAAAGGGTCCCAGATTCTTGTGCAGAGAACAGACTTGGTTCTAGGTGCAGGGTTAGAGTGGCCACAGCCATGCATACTAATGTGCTGCACTCACTACCACAAAAACAGAAAATGTAGCTCCAATGCACATGTTTTTGGACAAACATGAAAGTTACTTATGTGTGGACTGCTGCTGTGCCAGTCTGGTAATACATCTGTTACAAAAGTTGGAGCACCTTTCCTATTAGGACAGGCTGGAGATTCTGGGGCTTTTCAGTCTAGAAAAAAGAGGTTTATGAAATTATGCAAGTGGATAGAGGGAACTTTGTCTTCCCCTTCCATAATACGAGAACTCAGGGAAATTGTTGGGAAATAGATTCAGGACAGACAAAAGAAAGTCCTGCTTTACTCAAGAAATAACTAAGACGAAGAAGAAGAGGAAGAGATTGGATTTATACCCCACCCTTCACTACCCAAAGGAGTCTCAGAGCGGCTTACAAACTCCTTTCCCTTCCCCTCCCCACAACAGACACCCTGTGAGGTAGGTGGGGCTGAGAGACCTCTGACAGAAACTGCTCTTTTTTTCAAGAACAGCTCTTGTCAGAACTATGGCTTGCCCAAGATCATCCAGCAGGTGCAAGGGGAGGCGTGGGGGCTCAAACCCAGTTCTCCCAAATTAGAATCTGTGACGCACTTAACCACTACACCAAACTGGCTCTGTGGAATTCACTGCCAGTGGATGCCGTGATGGCCACAAGCATGGATGGCTTTAAAAGGGGGTTGGATTCACAGAAGAGAGGTCCATCGACTGGTCCTACCCAAGGGAACTTCCATACACAGAGGCAGCAAACCTCCAAATATCAGTGTTGGGCGGCGGCAGCATGGGAGAACCTTGGCCTCTATGCTGTTCGTTTGGCCCTCCACAGGAACTGATTGACTGCTGTGTGAAACAGTATGCTGGATTAGATGGACCAGTGGGTCTGATCAGTTCTTATGTAAAGTGATGGTTGAGCTCATTTTCATACTCATCGCCCAGACCAAATCACTGCCATAATGGCTTTGGAGGGCTGAAGTGAGACATACAAGCTTAACTTCCTGAACTAGTCCCCCTCTATCCTGGATGAAGGACGGACAAGGAGCGGGCTTGAGAGGAATACTATACTTCCTTTGCTATCCTCTCCATCAAAGCAGGAAGGAGTAAGCACAGTTTCCACATTGTTCTGTACAGAGCAGAAAGGGCACTAGCCTCCTCCTCATCCCTTCCACTTCTGCAATATAACAATGGCTATTCACTTGTTTTTTTTTTAAAAAAATAACTAGTTTTCCTTTCCCCTCAGCTACACTTCTGGTTCCCCATCCTCCAGGCTATGAGAAATGTCCAGAAGGAAGCCTCAGAGCTGACCAAAGACAGCTGTGTTTAACAACATAAGGAAAATCTTTACAGAAATTCATGGTTGTGTGAGTGGACCAGTGGCCTTGTACATTTGATTTTTTAAAAAATTGATATTTGCTTCCAATGCAATTTTGAATTCATAAAAATGTTCAGACTTGGAGCTTAATTTGCTCTGTTGTCCTGCTAACTGTAAATAATACCTCTGTGCCTCACGCATTTTAACCTTCTTGTGCCTTTTTCTTAATCCCTCCATGTCCCTTTCTTCTGCCTCTCTCTCGCCTGTGCCACACTGCTCTTTTGTGTGGGTGGATATTTTCTTTCCCTGTGATATATCTATCATCACCCAAGAGTCTCTGTCCCTCCAGCCACCTTCCCCTTCATGTTTTATTTTTCACAGATGAAAGAACTTTAGGCTTTCAATTCAACATGAACAGACGTAAATCTGAAATGAAAGGTTTTAGTTTTACAAGGCCAATTAGGGTTACTGGCATCTTTTCTTATGTTGCTCCTAGTGATGCTGTGGCCTTACGCTCCCCTCCTCCGTTTTGGTGTGCGAGAGTGACGTTGCTTACAGAAAGCCTCGGCTTGCCCCTTTGACTCACCCATTCCACCCACACTCTGAAATGCAGAACTTGAATTTTTTTTTTGTTTTTTAAGGCCGAGAGATAAAAACGTTGAGCTTACTGTGTGTGTGGGGGAAAAATCTCCAAAGTAGATCAGCTGCAGTTTGAAAAATTAATGAAGGGCTGCCCCAGTTGTCTTTGGATGGCAATCAAAATGGTCAGGGTCTGTGGCACTGAGGGTTTAGAAGCATGACTTACATGAAATGAACAGTGGCGATGGGTGTTGATGTTCTCTTGTGTCATGTTTTCCTGTGCTGGCAGCATATGCATTTGTGGCTGAGGGCAGGGATTTGCAAGCAGAAGGTTGCGCTTCCCAAGGAACTTGGAGTGTGAGGGTGGCTGGGGACGAGTTGAAAGGAGGAGTATTTATTTCCAGGCACGGCAACAGGACAGCAGTTGCAACACAGCATGTCACAGTTTAGTGGGAGAGCCTATCTGTGGCCCGTGAGAAATCACAGCTTCAAGTTCATCTCGCTGTCATTAAAGGATCAGGGCTGGAAACATTTCTGCCAGAGGCTGGCAAGTTACTAGCCGTTAAAAGAGATAAAAAGCTTTATTTACTTTGCTTATATCCTGCCTTTCTGCCCAAAGGGATCCCAAAGGAGGTTACCACTGTTCTCCTCTTCTCCATTCTATCCTCACAACAACCCTGTGAGGTAGGTTAGGCTGAGGGCATGTGACTGGCCCGAGGGTCACCCAGCAAACTTCCATGGCAGAGTGAGGGTTCAAATCTCTCAGATCTTAGCCAGACACTCTAACTTAGTTGTACTTACCTTGCAGCATGTGAAGAACCACAGCTGCAATTTCCTTCAACCAAAACAGCCACATTTACTTCCATTCCTGGCATGAGGCCTGTACCTCAGGGAGGCTCAGAGCTTACCCATTCCTTTGGCAGTGGCTATTGCAAGGTGGAAGCAACCTGTCAATCACAAGCCCCACCACTGAGTGCCACTGCTCTAACCACTACATCACACGGGTTGTCTGCCCTACAGTATGTTGGAAAATGGGCTATAAGGGCCAGAACTGAATGGCAATCAGGGCATGTGTTCCACTTGTGGTTGTTATTCATATGTGTGTGTGTGTGAGAGAGAGAGAGAGAGAGTGTGTGTGTGTGTGTGTGAGAGAGAGAGAGAGAGAGAGATCTCCACACTGGATAAGCTCCAATGGTATGATACTAATTATTTTAGCTGCCATCAACCAGAAAGAAATCTGTGAAGTGGTTTACTCTGTCACAGGAGAACCAAAGTGGATGAGAGACAAGTCAAAGCAAAGGTTGCATAGAAATGTGCAAGCCGCTAAACACTTTAATGAAATCTGAACGGTACATATAGGGTAACTCTTTTACAGCTTCCTGGTCCAATAGCTTGTTTCATTTTTTGCATTCCTTGACCATGAGGATTATGTCAATACATCAACATCTAATACAGATGTGAGTCCCTGCATCTTCATATACGTCTGAGTGGATATCAAAGATGATTCCAGTGTTTACATGGTGTTCTCCACACCTGGGATCATCCCTCATTAACTGTGAATCCCTTTGATTAGGTTTCCACAGGGCACACTCACCAGGGAAGCAGAAAGCAGAGGAAAAATGTTATTAACTCATTAAGATAAATCAATAATTGTTTTAACAAAGGATAAATCTTTCGAGATTCTTCAAGAGTTGATATAAAAACTGCAGGCTGATATGGCTGCAAAACAGATTACTTAAGTAGGGCGAACAGAATAATTTTCATCTGTTTTGGACCTAAAGAGGGAAGGAAGAAGAGCATATGATGTGATATAATCATTCAAAAAGCAATAGCAGGATGAAAGCATAAATAGCTTGAAAGAATTATTACAGATTTATCACTACTCTACAACTCTAGGTTTTGTTCCTTTGTAGTATATCTATACCACAACCTGCCCCGTCCCTGTTTTGCAGAGAAAACATATATTGCAACGAGGCCCAATAACCCACAGTCCTCCCACCTCTCTGCTCCAATTACACTTTTCCTCAGGTGAAAGAAGAATGGAGAATGTCGAAGGGGCCATTTTATTCTTGTTTGTAAGCTCCCTGCCTCAACACCATATTTGGATGCGTGAGACACAAAATAATGCTTTGAGTAACTGATCTTAAGCTACAGTTAATTTTTTCCTTCAGCAGAATAATTCTGTTGCACAAGCTGAGTTTTTGTCTTTAAAAGAAGCTCTTAAGGCATCTGGACTTTTCTTCCTACTGCCTCTTCTGACGGTTTCTGATGAACTGTGAAAAAAGGCTTCACTGAAAGGAACAACACCGGGAATTTTAATTAGAATGGAAAAGTAAGAATCAAAAAGTGCTCAGGTTCCTTCCACCACAGTTGCCTTTTCCACAAAAGGAATAATCTGCCCATCCTTGCTTCCTTCATGGAGTTGTAGATTGTATATGGGGAGGGGAAGGGAAGTATCATTTTTTTTAATGAAAAAGAAATATTCCTGTGTTGAATTTTCCCTCAGGTTTGGGGGTTTAATATTACTAAAACTGGAGGGAAAGCTATGTTGTATTGTAGAGCATAAAAACAACAACAAAAATGGAACCCTTATAAAACTAAAGTCTTATTTGTCAAAAATATAATCTCTACTTTTAACATTTTTTATATTGCATGAGAACTACAGTCTTCCACAACATAAATATATTTAAAAACATTTAAAATTAGCCCCCCTTTGTGCAGAACAACATCCTAAAAATAAAAAAGAGTATTTGTCAGCATTAAAAACATCGATTTTGAAGGGTTTCCCCTTCCCAGTGTGCTGCTGTGCTTCTACTTTGTACCACACCAGGGGCATTTGTGTGTTTTTCCTGCATGGGACATGTCCACACAGTATGAATTAAACTGACTTTTACTGTAATTTGCTTCCCACAGAAGATCCTAGTAGGTGCAGTTTTGGAAGGACAGTGTGTTACCTGCTGCCCCTTATAAATAAAGTGTTCATTTATTAGCCACACTTCTTACAGAAACGTTCCATAGAAACTACAGTGTTTAGGTTTCTTTAGGCGGGAAGTATCTGAATGGTTAAAATTTGTAATAAAACATGCTTTTCCTAAAAAGATACTGTAAATACAAGCCTCTTAATCCAGCAAAGAAGTATTGCAATGTGGATGGTGATAAGGCCATCTAGGGCTGTTGGTATTTGTACTTGGTCATGGATTGAGCCCCACCAGCTTACACTGACGGAATGAGACATTTACCTGCAGAAACTGAGCTACTGTGCGGTATTTATTTTTGTGCTGGAATGAGCGAAATCACTTTGCCTGCATATGGGGCCCGCTGGACAGGGACAGGCTGACAGACCTGCAATAAAACATATATATACATATATATATTTTAAAAAGATGTTCCATTTTTCTTTCTTAGAAACTAAAACCAACATAACTGACTATATACTTTGTTACAAGCATCAGTCTATAGTGGACATTTCTCACCCGGCTGCTCTCATTCTGGCCTCTCTAAAACAGATGTTTGGGGATCCACCTGTGCATGAACCAATCAGGCTCTACATTCAAGAACTGCACTCAGGGCTCTTTGAAGTACACTCCTGAATCTACCATTTCTGTTTGCTTGGAAATCTCCACTGATCAACTGCACAATTGCAAATGATAATTTATTTGACTATGATTTCCCTAAATGAGCTGAGGCCATGTGATGGACAGATCTTTTTAAAGCATATTAATGAATATGTAAAGGAAGGACGGTTAGGGGTAATGTAAATTATTGCTTCTGAATTCATTGCCTTTCAGTAACTTCAACATAACTTGATATAATAAACTGTTCGCACTTCCTTTATCTATGTGGTGTTTTCTGTTAAAGAGATAGACATGCTTACCAGAACATGCCCTCTATGTAGGACACTAGCTTTCCATTTAGGACAAGATGTCAAACGGGTGATGTATCTGAATCATACTGAAGCTGACAGCCTGTAAGGAATCATGGTGTGTGTGGTGGGAAAGAGAAATAAAACTGGGGGGAGGGGAATTTCCCATGTGCCAAATGTCCTCTTATAGGATATTATAAACTCCAAGGGGTTCAAGCAGCCTAATTCCCTGAACCCCTCTCTATTTTCCTCCCATCCAAGAATAGGGCTACATAAAAACCCCTCTCAGTTCACCACTGGTGTAGTGTTTTCCCCTGCCATCAGTGAAAGCCAGTCATCAGTAGGGCGAGAAGACAGGGAGGTAGTAGCTATAGCTGCTGAAACAATCTCTGTTCAGGCCCTGCATGTTTGGTGATGACCGCTTGGGCAGCTGTAACACCACTCTGCAGGTGCCCCATTCTGGCAGTGGCTCTGGAAACCAAGATGGCGGCAACTGCTGATGGATGAGGCTGTCACTTTGTTTGCTTCTGTGGCTACAGCAATTCCTTGAGCCAATGAATGGAGTGGAGTAGTTAGTCCCAAGTCACTGCTTGTCCAGGACCGACTCTCTATCCACTACACCGCTGTAGCTCCACTGTATCAGATGAGAGGTTGGTGTGACCAAGCTTTTTTCAGCCGCTACCCATTGGTTGTGGAATTCTCTCCTTCTAGAGGTACACTTGGCATTATTTTAGCCTTCAAGGCGATCTGAACCCTCCTCTCACCTTGAAATACTTTGATAATCACTGATCAGCATGACTCGTTTTACAGTGAGGCCTTTTGAAATGTGGCTGAGTTGCATTGTTTTTATCATCTATCTTACAACTGCTTTCAGAAGCTGTTGTTTTATCATTCAAATGTTGTTTGGAGAGGCTGCTGTACTTTTAAACCTAATTTAATTTTTTCGTTGATAGAGAGTACTGATTTTTTTATTTACTGAACTTATATTTTATACATAGGCCTACTTTGTAAGCAGGCTTGGGTATTTTCTTTAAACAAAAAGGTGTTCTGACTCTCCCCACCCACCCCCAGCAAAGCTGAAACTATTGTCATTCGGTTATCTATTTACTGCTCCCTTCAAAGCCAGTAACTGAGGGCAAGGCCCTGCTCAGAATCACTGCAACATTAACACTTACGTTTTTGAAATTATGTTCTCCTGTTTTTAAGGGTGGAACTATTTGTTCTGTGATCATCTATAAAGATACAGACCTTTGAAGGGGTAAAAAGCAGCAGAGGGGAGATATCTTTCCGCCCGAAAGAGTACAGGGGAGGATTACTGGGGGGAAAAAACCCCACAATCATTCTTCCCTCCGTCTGACTTCAGAAAATTGTTTGGGGAATTAGTAAAAAGGGAACATGGAAGAAGGGGTAAAAAGCAGCAGAGGGGAGGTATCCCTAACCCGAAAGGGGACAGGGGAGGATTACTGAGCCCCCCCCCCATCATTCTTCCCTCCTTCTGACCTCAGAAAATTATTTGGGGAATTAGTAAAAAGGGAACATGGATTACAGGGTGGGGGTAGGGACAAGAAGATAATGGTGGCAAACAATGAAGGAAAAAGATGTCCAATTTTAAAATCCAAATAAGAATCTTGGTTATTGCTCTGAATAACTTGTGTTATTGGTGTAAATCAGTCACAAGCATTGCTGGTTCATTTGAGTGGTTCAGCATTGCATAAATTCGGTCATTTGCTCCATTACAAAAGAAACCCGGCAACAGAGGAGATAAAACTCCTGCAAGTTCTAGCAGGAATCAAGACATGTGCAAAGTTTATAGAAACAGGGCTCAAAAGAGAGATAAAGGATGAACTCAAACCTGATCTCGCTGTCTGATCCGCTTGTAGACGTATTCAGGGAATGGTTCACGAGGAATGTATCTTCCCTGTCCCGGTGCCACATGGAAGACTCCTTTGTCATAAACCACTTTGCCTTGTGAAATGGTCACAAGTGGCACTCCGTGGCAGACCATTCCTTCAAATATATTGAAGTCAATAGCCTGGTGATGTGTCTTTGCTGAGATGGTCCTGCAGTTAGGAAACAAACAAACAATGGTCTTAACCCAGATATTGGAAGTCCACTGAGAAATGAAGTCAGAGTTTTTAAAAGTTAGATGATTAAAGTTACAGTCCTGACAGCCCTTTGAAGTAAATTCCAAGGAAACAAATGGAATTTATTTCTAAGCAAAGGTGTTTAGAAGCTGCTGTTTAAAATGCTGGCTCGAAACTTATTCAAGGGAATTTTTCCTGCACGCCCGCACTGCAATGAACAAGAACTAGGCAAGATAACCATGATGCATGTTCCTGCATAGTTTGCATTTATTTCAGTATGGCCTGTGCAGGAGAACTTCTTTTGGAATACACATGTGCAGGAGAACTTCCTTCTCTGGTCAGCAGCAGCTTTCCAGGGTTTCAGGGAGATATCTTTTATATCTCCTGTAACCTGATCCTTTTAACTGGAGATGCTGGAGACTGAACCCAGGACCTTCTGCATGCAAAGCAGATATTCTGCTACTGACACCTGGGTTTTGGCCACTCTGTGACACAGAGTGTTGGACTGGATGGGCCACTGACTTGATCCAGCATGGCTTCTCTTATATTCTTATGAGCCAGGGCCCCACCCCAATGCAAAGCAGAAGGTTCAATGAATGACTGTAAACAATGAAAGAAAAAAGGAGTTGAAAAATTAAACATAGAATCCCCATATGTATGACGTGTGTGTATTAGTTCAGGCATCACATATGCAGGGGGATCATGCATACTAGCCTAACCATGTGCTTTCAGCCTCAGGACTATAGGCACAGAAGCTGTAAACATATAGGACCCCTTGAAAAGCAGGAGTTGCAGGATGGATCCTGCGTGTACAGTTTAAATGCACATGGGATCTGTGCTGAAAGAGTTGAACAGGTCAAGTGAACAGGGCTAGAGTTTTCAGAAAACCATTAAATGTGGCAAGCCCCCACCCTGCCCCATCTGGTCCCAAAGATCCACTGATCCCCAGAGACAAAATTCTGGGGAAGCTCAATCTGCTGAGCAGGAGGAGGAAGTGAGAAAACCCGTTACAGTGAAATTTGTGGATGGTCAGACACATAGCAAGGATGCTTACGCTCAGGAGGACACGTCACATTAGGAACTGGAATGCAGAGCCCCAAAGCCTGATGCATCAGAACTCTCTCTTCCCCTCTCTTTTGCAGTTGTAGTGAACAAAATGCACTGTACACACAGGGGTGGATCCTATGAACAACTTCTGTGCGCACTAGGTAGTTTTTGCTGCGGAGCACGCGTCTTCTTCCACTAAAGATTCTGTTTTGATAAGATCATTGGTCTTCAATGGGCCCTTGTATAAATGGATGTTTTAGTGGAAGAGGAAGCATAATGCTTCGCAACAGAGACTACCAAGTACACCAAAACCTAGTTGTAGGATCCAAGCCCTTCTCCTCCTCTTCTATTTTAGGGATAAGCCCTGGCATTGAAAACTGTTTCAAGGTGAGCCCTGCCACAAATTAAAACCTGGGGGAAATGCTGTTTTATTTAGCCTCCTTGGAAGAGACAGAAGACACACAGCCATACACAACCAAGCTCATTTGCTGGAATGCCAATTACGTCCTCCTTTAAGCCTGAAAAGGTGTGTGTGTGTGTGTGTGTGTGTGAGAGAGAGAGAGACAGAGAGACAGAGACAGAGAGACAGACACAGAGAGACAGAGACAGAGAGACAGATTTCAATCAGATTTGCCAGTAGGTCTCAGCCATCTTGGCTGCAAGCATGATCAAAAAGAAAAACCAGCCAACCAACCCTGGAACACCACTTCCCTCTCGATGAACACAAACAGAGGATGTCTGTGAGGCTCAAGAGCCAGATGGAAAGATGTGGACCCCCTACACAGCAGACCAACAGCCAGTCTGTCTCCAAACAATAAAGTGGTGATCCTTGTTAGGGTTGGCGGATCTTTGCCTTTCGCACAGACCTGGGGCTTCTCTCTGCTAGTAGAAGGTACATATTCACACAGCACTAGTGTAGCTGTTGCATCACAGGCAAGTTTTGATCGTGTAAAATGGACTCTTCCACAGTTTTGTAGCCTTAGTACTTCTTTATTCTCTACTAGACTTGTCAGGTCACCCACTATAAGGAACAAGGACATGCCACATACTATCTTGTGAAAACACATATCACATATGCCAGGCTCATCATGCACTGCAGTGCATGAACCTGTGTAGGAGCCAGTCACATGGGTCATCCACAAAAGATGACTAAGAAGAAGAGGAGATTGGATTTATATCCCACCCTTCACTTGGAGTCTCAGAGCAGCTTACAAACTCCTTTCCCTTCCCCTCCCCACAACAGACACCCTCTGAGATAGGTGGGGCTGAGAGAGCTCTTTCAAGAACTGCCCTTTCAAGGACAGCTCTGACAGAACTATGGCTTCCCCAAGGTCATCCAGCAGTTGCAAGTGGAAGAGTGGGGAATCAAACCCGGTTCTCCCAGATTAGAGTCTGCGCACTTAACCACTGCACCAAACTAAGTGTGCATGCAGGCACATGAATGAGATGGGAATGACATGTGGGAATTACTCTGTGCCTGGGGAAAAATATAAGTGGCGGGTAATACAGCACACCACATGCCACAAGCTA